TACATTCTTTGAAAGGTTGGGATTGTTTCTCCGGTTTTGTTTTTCCCTTTGTCTTTTTACTTTTTTTCATTTTCTTATATCTCCCCTTCCTCTTTTCCCTGTTGATACAGCCTATTTCCCATGTCTACTGTGATTCAGAAGTCTGTGTGTTAACTTATAATCCTGTTTTGAACCATATTCAATGCTATCTATTCCTCTAGGTGTATTCTGCAACTGCACGCTAAAGAGTGTGATTAACTTCTGTGCTATCTCAGCACAGACAAGACCATCTAGTTCAATGGTAGATTCCATTAACCCTTAAAGGTTACCCTGAAGTCTCAATTCTTCCCGTGGCAAATTTTAATTTGTACTTGTGAAATTCTTTTACACCATCTCTGATAATTCATTTGGCATGGTTTCAGTCCTGTTCATGTTCAAATGACTCTTCTCAGGCTCTCCAACTAAGTGGAATGTCTCCCTCACTGTCGTTTGGAATGTTTGAAGATTCCTCTGACTCATTTATAATTTTACTGGGTGTCTGTACCTTTTCAACCTGTTGCAACTTTATAAAATTTTCGAGAAACTGTTGAGTTTATGCAGCCTTACCCTCCAGTGTGAGAGATCATTTCATCATAAATGGTCGATACCCAGCATGGCAAACATAGGTTTAAACCCGCCGTTACCAGCCCAGTAATGAGTTACCTCTCGAAAAAAAAATTGCCCTAATGGCACCTCAATGCTGCCTCCTTGGACTATCACAGGGGAGTTTGTTCTGTTTCTGGTTAGAAAACACTCAGTTCTTGCCAGCAGTCATGTCTGTAAACAGCCAGTGTCTCAGAGAATGTTAATTTGTTTTTCCAGCTCATTTGAAACATTACGGACCATCACCCCTGAAAAGGTTCCTTCTTTAGACTTGCACAGAGATTTATGGTTTTAGTGACCATGGATATGGACTGTGCTGAAAGAATGCCTGTGTCTCTTTTTTGTATGCCAGCCACGTTATTTCGTATGCTTGGTTTTCCACGACTGAAGCAGACCAGGTTCAGTTCTGTTTGTTAGTCAGGTTGGCTGACTCTTTCTTGTCTCTCCTGTGGCTGAGATATTTGCAGACTGGAAAGGATCAGACACTTAAATGGTACTTAGTGATCATTAGTTAACAGGATGGGATGGTTGATAGTGTGGGAAGGTCAAGCTTGGGCTTTCCCACAGAACATAATTTTGGGAGAGGCAGGAAGGGTGCAGGGGAGGGATTGAGACACCAAGTCTTGCCTCCTGCCTCCAGACCCACTGACTCTGAAGGCAGCTGAACATTCTAACTATTATGACAACAATCCCCTGTTGTCTCCTCAATAACTTCAACCCTCCCTCAGTCATGCAGAGTGAGACTGTTGCTTACTTTTCTACAAAATCCAACTCCCAGGAAAGCAGCTAAATGGGAAAACATGCCAGCAATTTTTTTCCCTAAATCTTCCTGGCCTCAGTGCTTCCAAACCCATCTCCAGTGTGCTGGGAAATTTCCCTCCACAGTTTCTCACTGAGGTTTGGGTATGTGAATTTCACTTTGTGACCTCGTTCAAAGAGCACTTCTCAACACTTTTACCTCCCTATTCTAGCAGTTTGCTCTGCTTCGTGTTACCTCTGTTCATCCCTGTGTCATTCAGTAGTGCAAAGGGACCTACCACACCTATGCCTGGGGATAAATGGTTTTGCAGAATCCTTGAAGCAAGGACAAGTTCTTCAACACCTGCTACACCACTCACTCTGGAATTCAGAATTTTAAACAACTATAGAAGCTACCAGATCAATCAGAAACAGACATGAAGTTAAGTTGATGATCCCATGAACGGTGCACATGGTGAGTCCTTCTAATTGCTAAGTACCTCTTCAAATGTATGAGGTTAAGAAGTGCATTAGCTCAAATGTTTGGCTCCAAATGGAATTGTTAGTCTGAGTTCAGCATTATACACTAGTTGATGTCATGATTTGTTTACTGTGTACACTTCAAGCATGTATTTCCTACACACATGCTAATGCCCTGTGTACACTTCAAGCATGTATTTCCTACACACATGCTAATGCCTTCACTAAGATAACATTTGGAGTATTCGCCATGGTTGCCAATAAAGGCAAAATAGCACCAAAAAACTAAATTTACAGGGACAAGTTTCATGGCCTATGATTCTATTCCATGACCCTTTTTTTTATGATCTCTTTTTTATGATAACCCACTGGGTGGTAGGGGTTGCGGGGGGAGCATTTTGGCATCAGAACACTTACTGCTTTGGTCACAGGTAGTGCAAATAATTACTTACCTTAGTTATATCATAAGTTGTTGAGATAAAGCTTTTCACCTTTATTTGTAATACAATAATATGCTACATTTGAATGCAATATTCCAAAAAAGGCAAGTCAAATAAAGATTGCATGTTTCTAAATATTTCCAAGAAAGTACCACAGCTGCCACTCTTTAAAATTTTTTAATGGTCTCTATTTTGCTGACTACAGACAAAAATGTATTCACTGAAACATATTCAGTATCATTTTCAGAGATGACGACTTACAGTATTATTGTACCTTTATAAAAAGTCACCTAAAACTTGTAGTACATGTTATTGTACATATCAGTCATAACTAGAAGACAGATGGCTTTTTCATTACATTAAAAGAAATTCTCTTTACAGGTGTTTTGCCACTGGCAAATGTCGTTGAAATGAAATGGCAGATTAATCCTTTTACGCACTGAAATTCTTTTAGAATTTGCAAGTATTAACTGTCAAAAATGGGAAAGTACAGATGTTATTGCACAAGCTAACAGGATAGAAAGAAACCACTCAGCTGAACATAGGCATACTTGTCTTCCCACTCTACCTAATCTATTGCCAAATTGGTCTACTTTTTTTCCTCTGCCATGTCCATCTAGTTTCCCTTAAATACACCAAAGAGGGGAAACCTGGGTTACGTGGATTACTATCAATGAAGGAGAGAAAGCTAAAATGCAAATTAATGATAAATATCAGTTGTGCTTAGCAGAGCACTCTGATTTCTGAGCATATTGTGGGCTCAAGTCCCATTTTGGTTACTTAACCATGAAAAAGGACATAAAAGACCCGTGCCACAGTTTCAAAAAGGAGAAAGGAAGTTCTCCCAAGTACCTTGGCCAATATTTATCCATTCGTCAACATCAAATATCAAAGAAAAAAAAAACTTTCCGTATTTAAAACTGTTCGTATATATGAACAATGACTTTAATTTTAAAAATGCATTTGAAAATATAAACATCGTATACTCTAATGGGCCACAGCAATGCCTGATAAAGTTTTTTTCTTTATCCAGATTTTTATTTGGATGTGTGCATTGAAAGTTATAAATAAAATTAAAATTTAAAATACAATCACTTCAGACTATGTAAAGATGATTACAATTTTCAACATAATTCTGCTACAATGAATGTACAAAAGAATTGATGTATTATCGCTGATACCAAATATAAATGATCACAAAAATTGTTAAAGCACCATGAGTCTCGGATACCAATCTATCCATAGAAGTGTAATGTTTTAAAATAAAAGTTATTTTTCAAGAAAGAAATGCACTGTTCTGTAGCTATAAATTTCACATATGTGCAGTACCATAGGTCAAAGCATATACAGGTATGTAAATTGCTCTTAAAGCTTGAGAAATACAAGAGTAGTAACATATATTTAAGTGACATTTCAAATATTCATTGCTCAATGTTTAAAATTCCAATTACTTTGTTAACAGGTTTTAAAACTGAGCATTTCAAGTGTTACATCAGATCATTGATACTATACTTGAATTGTTACAAATCTTTATATAAAATTAGAAAAGAATAATACAATCCAACAACAATCCAATTTTGAGGCAAAATTATCAGCACCATATTTGTGCACAACACATCCCTGGCTTTAAAAAGGTGTGAGGTACATTTGGTAGAATGAAGAAAATGGGTCTTTACACAATCACCATCATGGCTTTTGACGTTCCCTCAAACAATACAATGAGCGCTCAGATGGAAAATACCAAATGGTTCGTCTTTGGATAGTGTATGTGAAGACAACACAATCACTTCTCAGTGAACATTACCTTAATATTTATCACTGCTTTAAAAAAATAAATTAATTAAAATGCAAATCATAAACTGCAGTATCTGAATAATGAATTTTAAAATGATAAGGTACCTTGACAATGTGATAAATAGTGATGCTTTTCAAATAAATTCCAAATCTTTTATGCCAAGAGTAAAATATGGTGATACTAGAAATCTAAAAAATGAATAACACTGGAGGTATTCGGCAGAACATGCAGCAGTGGTGAAGAGACAAACAATTGATGCTGCTTGGCCTGCTGTGTTCATCCAGCTCTACACCTTGTTATCTCAGATTCTCCAGCATCTGCAGTTCCTACTATCTCTGAAACAATTGTAACAGGTTGGTTTTAAGGAGTTTTTTTTAGTGATACTGCAAACATTTGTTGTCATTAATCACCTGAAACTGATAGCAACCTCTGACAATGCACGGGCACAATTAAGTGTGAAAATTTTGTATGCATTTTGACTCAACCTGTTCAGATATGTTTCTAGCATAGGTGGGACTATGAACCTAGGTATTCTGGCTCAGAGGCAGGGATACTACCGCTGTGCCACATAGCCCCTGAAAATTCTGTAAGCAATTCTCCTTTATTCCACAAGGTATGCTGTTGAGGTGCCTACACACTGCAATCAATCAGAAATCAGTGAACTGACAAGAACTTTCCTTTACGTGTTTAGACTCATCCTGAAGAAATTGCATCTGATTGAATGATGTGGCACTGGATTTTGTGAAGATTATACTAGGTTTTATAATTACTGCTGCACAATATTTCCATTGCTAAAAACTAATTTTACATTTGTGGAACATCAAATGTCTTCTTTATGTTAACATAGTATTTGTTAAAAATAATATCTTGTTTATATTTAGCTTCTGACTTAATTCAATGAATATTTTCCAATCATTTATTTTGATATTTAAAATTTAATTAAAATTGAAGGATCATCAGTGCATTTTAGTTCCTAATTTGCTTTCTGTGAGAATATATCAATATGACTACTGCTTATTCTGTTTCTTGGCATCAGCGTTGTCGAATGCCTGGAGGTTCTCTTCAATTATAGCACCAATTTCAAATCAACATTGGGAAAAGGAAAGTCCCTCAGTGCCACAGAGGTTGCTAGATGTTTGAGGTTAGCTTTCTTTAAGGACTAAAATGATCACCATTACTTCACCACGAACTACAAAATCAGATCAACATTTCAGGCTTTCATCAGAACCACATATATTCATCAAATTGTAAAGTTAACTTCAATTCTCTTCCCTCAGAAGCTGCTCGGCCTGCTGAGTACTCACAACATTTTCTTTTTTAATTTTTACAAAAGGTTTACAATGTGAGTAGTTTAATATTTGAATAATTCCATAAATTCATTACAGAGGGCTAATTTAACCTTTGTTTAAATTGATTTTTTTTCTTTCAAATGAGACATTGCTTAAAGTGAGCAAAGGGACTAGTGCAGTGTGCCAGCAATGGCCAACATGTGACCAGAAAGTTCATTCCCTCCCTGTCTTTGTTATCCAGACATCAGTAGACATTGCAAGAGGCTGATAAACACGTCTTTTCCCCCCCAAGTACTGCATTCTTTTTTCCAGAACTAGGCAAAAAGGTCAATTTTACTTGCTGACTTCATGCAGACAGGGCAACACCTCCCTTTCTTTTTGGTAGATTTGGAGCACTTGAGACGGGGGCATTTTTCCACATAGCAGGTCACCTGGCCATTCTAGAAAGAAAGAATCAGCAGAACTGTTAAGACTTCCTGCCAGTTGTATTAACCATCACTGACCACTGGACATTCTTGTGGGAAAACACCATTTCAATCATAGATTTAGTCATCAATTCTCATTTTGCAAGCACGGTTCACAATGGACATCTATTAATAATTACTTTTTGCCATATTTGTAATCAAGTGTATATGAAATCTGAATTATTCATTCACCAAGCTAACGCTTTATGGTCTATTTTCAAAGGGATGATATTCCTTTGTCTCGAGAGATTATATGACTGTGTTAATTGTCAAGAATGAATGACATTGATACCCATAGTCAAATCATGAGGAGACAATTTGTAATTGCTGACTGTCTATTTGTTTCCTGAAATATTGTGAGCTAGTAATAAAAAAAATGTTGTATGGGAATGTAATTCAGTTTTCCAGATTCAGGACACATTAATCCAACTTTCTGATATGCCTGCAAATGACCAGTTTTTAAAATATGCAACTTCAGACCTTATGTCATTTGAAGATTTTAAAGTATAATTGCATGGGGCATGAGCCAGGTAGTGCTCACAAGTTGGAAGAAGACTAATATTCTGTTCATAAAAAGCATGTTGGTGGACATTGAACAAAAAAATGTCAAACTGCTGTTGATCTCAGTGTGGGAGTTAGATATCCTGATATGGATCACACCCGGAAGTAGCTACCCACAGTGTGATGTTGCTTCTTGCGGAATACGATTCATAGGAAGGATGCTGTAGAATTTGATTATAATTATAAATTGATGAGATGACTATCCTGCCCACCATACAACATGCTATCAATTATGGAAATGGAAATCGGAACTGAAAACTGGCCCAGAAAGAACAGTGAACTCATTGAAATTCTGGTATGGCAGTCAGAGGTTCTGCAGGCCCTCATGACATTGACAAAACCCACCTAAAGCATGGGACCATAAGATGTAGGAGCAGAAGTAGGTCATTTGGCCATCAAGTTTAATTTAACATTCAATGAGCTAATGGCTGTTGTCCTTCAACTCCACTTTCCTGCCTTTCCCCTTGATCCTGTCTGTCTACCTCAGCCTTGAATATATTTAATTGTGAGATTAGACAGGTTTTCAAAAAATCATGAGCAGGCTGGATAGACCAGATAGGGAAAAGCTTTTCCCACTCCCTAAAGGAACAAGAACAAGAAGGCATAGATTTAATGTGATCTATAAAAGAGACAAGAGTGAAGCGAGGAAAAGTTTTTTCACTCAGCAAATGCTTAGGATATGGAAAAAGACCCATGGGATTGGGAAACAGCCAATTTAACACCTTTATGTAGAAAGTGATGGAGGAAGAAACTATGTCAGTTAGCTTAACACCTGTCATTGGTAAAATGTTAAGAGTCTATTATAAAGGAAGTAATAGCAGAGCATTTATTATACATGTAAAGTGATTGTAATGAGCTCTGGCAGGTGGACCTCATAGAAAATGAGTTCCCTGATTAGGGCTGTTAATCTGGTCCAATCAGGGAGCCCTGGCTGACAGATAAGAACAGAGTGTCAGAGATACTGCTCATTCTGAGATCTGGCTCTGAAGGAGCTGGATTAGTGTCAAGGACTCTCTACATGTAAATAAAGGGTGACTTGGTGACAGGATACTGGCCTCTGTGGAGTCATTTCAGTACATACTATAGATAATATAATCAAGCAGTGTCAGCATGATGTCATTAAGGGAAAATCATATCTGACAAATTCATTACAATTCTTTGAAAAGATAACAAGCAGGATAGGTAATAATAATTTCCAAATGGTATTAATAAGGTACGACATGCAAGGCTACTAAAAAAGATAAGAGCCACGATGTTGGGTTAGTATGTTAGCATGGATTAAAGGTTGGTTCACGAACGGATGACAGAGAACTGAGATAAGGGAGGCATTTTCAAGATGGAAACCTGTAAAGAGTGGAGTGCCACAGTGCTGAGGTCATAATTATTTACAATACATATCAATGATTTACGTGAGGGGATTCAGTGTAACTTTAAAAGCCAAGTTTACAGATTACACAAAAATAGGTGGGAAGGGAAGTGCTGAGGATGACAGAAAGAATCTGCAGAGGGGTAAAGACAGGTTAACTGAGCAGACAAAAACTTGTCAGATGAAATATGATGTGGGTAAACATGAGGTTATGCACTTTAGCAGAAGGGCTGAATATTGTTTAAATGATCCTGCCCCTTGGCCCCTTGAACCCAGCCACTTGACCCCATCAACCAATTTGCTGAGACCCCTGAACACTGAATAACCTGGGCTCCCTGACATGGTAGAACTGCTTGTAGTCCCAGAAGCACAATTACTTCCAGCTGGTGCTGCTGTGACCACAGAGCTGCCAGTCATCCAGTTGGCTGATAAAGAGGCAAAAAGTTCTCCTTAAAGCTATTCTTGCTGCTCCCAAAATTAGATTGCTGAGGACAACCGTTGGGTTCATGGTGGACTGTCCTCAGGGTTTTCTTAGCACGAGAACCATGATGCCCTGTAAACTTCAGCATTATGTAAAGCTATGTAAAATTAAAAGACAGAAATTAGGAAACTAGACAATCTCATTTAACAGATTAGGCTTATTTTAACAGTGACACCAACAGCTTTGAAATAAATTGGTTAATGTCAGAAATAAAGTAATGCTGGTTGTAACATCTAGGACCAGATATTCCAATTACTATCCAAACAGATTTGACTGATGGCATTCTTCTTCAAAAATAATTATTTACCTATCAGTGATTTCTTCAGCTATGACTTTGAGTGTGGCCTGTTCCAAATGTGTCTATCAGAGGCAACTGGGGGGAAATCCACTTGGCACACAGTGGCATTGTAGGCCTGGTCACTCACCTTTATCATAATACTTGCTGTCTTATTTCCAGAGTTAAAGGTCTCAAATACACATTGACTGTGACTGACCATGTAAGGTACTTAAAGTAGGTGCACAGGTAAGGGGTTGTGTGCCAGGTATGTAACAGTGTGCTACAGTAAGATGGGGAATTGAGTCAGGATCAACAGGTTAAGGGTGGCTGTCTGCTCCAGTAGGATTGTTTCAGGCTTGTGTCAGCTCCAGCAAAGCTGGGCTAGATTAGGTCATGGTGCGACTGGAATGGTGTCAGCTCCAGCAGGGTTAGATCAGGCTTAGGGCTGTGGTTGCATCCAGTGGGGTTTGGGGTGTCAAGATTCAGGAAAAATTGTAGTCGGGCATTCCATCATAAGTTGGGCATGCAGTTTAATAATTATTCAGGATTCAGAGCAGTTTCTTCAACCCGTAACTCATGCTGGGTGATCATTAAAAGAGTCAGAATCCTCCAAATTCCCCAACATTAATTGGCTTTATTGTCAGGAATTATCAAACAGAATCTTCAATTTCCACAGAATCAACTGCACTGGGAATTAAATTGTCCAGATATGGCATTCCAGTTGACACTGCTCCAAAGACTCTGTGGCCATCAAAATTGCTGGACCACCAAGTATTACAAGCCTGTGAGGTGACTGTTTTAAAATGCTCTGCTTGAAACAAATAACATCACCTGCAACTTTATACATACTTTACAATAACAGGTAGTGCAGTCTTCCTTTTTCCAATGATCATTTTCATTCCTGTGATTTCCCTTTTCATCCATGCAGCCATTCTGTTTCAGACGTGATTCGAGTTGATTGATCTTTAAGGAGAGATATGCATGATATAAGGTAACTAAAGTAGTTGAATTCTTACTACTCATTATTATACATATCAGAAATGATTAATGCAATAAAAATTGTTGACAATTGTAATCCTCCCACATATCACCCAAGCCTACACCTGGTTTACTTTAAAAGAACAGCATTACTACAAGGATATATTTTCTGGAACAATGAGACTGAGCAATTTCACTGGTTCTTTAGTTTTTCTTTTGGGTTAACAAGGGCCTTTCTGTTTGCTTAGTTTTGCTCTATTGCTGCATATAGAATCTGTCCTACATATAATATATAAAATATAGTATTTAAGAAAATGTCACAACATTGGGACCCTTGTTGTATTGCAAACCAATCTTTTTTTGACAGCATTCAGCACTATAGAGGAGGCAATATTTCAATTCAGTTCACTTTTTCAATAGTGCCAATTCTCTCACTACCTTTTGCACATGCCTTTTGGATAGTCATACCCCCAGTATCGTAGAATTGTTCCAATACAAAAGGAGGCCTCTGGGACTACCATGTCTGTGTCAATTCTCCAAATGAGGAACTCCCCCAGTGGCATTCTCTCACCTTCTCCCTTTTCAGATAATAACCTAATTCCCTTTTGAATGCTATAATTGAACTCAGTTCCAACACACTATCAGGCAGAAAAGTGCAGATGTTCACGACTCACTGTGTGAAAATGATTCTCGTGTCTATTTCTTCTTTTCTCAATCAGCTTATCCTCTCATTTGTAATCCTTTCATCAGTTGTAGTAACTTTTCCCTATCTACTCTCTCATTAGATCACTAATATTTTGAATACCTCTATCAAATCTAATTTCTTCAATTCACCTATGTCACTGAAGTTTCTCAAATCTGCGGCCATTCACATGGATCTTTCCTGCAGCCTCTCTAATGCCTTATCATACTTCCTAAAATTTGACAGAACTGGATGTAATAGTTAAGTTGTTTTATGCAAGCCCAATGTAAAGTCCTTGCTCTTGTACTCAGTGCCTCTATTAGTAAAGTCTAGGATACTATATATTTTATTAAATACCCTCTCAAATCGTTTTGCAACTGTTAATGACTTATGGTACATCTGCAATGAGGTCCTGAACTCCAATTGGAATTGTAGCCTTTATTTCATAACACAACTCCGTGCTCTTCCAAAATAAATCATTTCACACTTTTCTGTGTTAAATGTCATTAGGAATGTTTTTTGACCCAACATTTGAAATTTGAAATAGGAGAAGATGTGGCACGTTGGGAATATATCACTCTACTAGTAATCAAGGGTCTCAGGTTAATGCTCTGTTAACACAGGTTTAAATCTCACCACAGCAGCTAGAATTGAAAGCTAGTCTCAGAGTAGTGATCATGATAACTATTGTCACTGGGGGAAAAGCCCATCCGATTTACTCCAGACTGACGTAGTTGACTCTGAAATGACCTAGTAAGCCACTCTACTGAAAGCCCTGAGTGAAAGTGCTTCTCTTACCAGAGACCTCCACATCCCATGGAAGTGTAGAAAAAGGAATTGCTGCAATACAAAGTGTTCAACAAAGTACCTCACAAAAGGTTAAGCCAAAAGATAAGAGCCCATGGTGTTGGAGCTAATATATTGACAGGGATAGAGAATTGGCTAATGGACAGGAAGTGAGTGGGAATAAGGTGTTCTTTTTCAGGTTGGTGACCTGTAACCAGTGGGGTTTCACAAGGATTAGTGCTGGGACCGCAACTGTTTACAGTAAATATGAATGCCTTGAAGAAAGGAAATGAATGTACTGCAGCCAAATTTGCAGACAACCCAAAAAGGTGGAAAGGCAGGTTGTGAGAGGAATACAAGTGGTTTGCAGAGAGATATTGATAGGTTAAATAAATGGACAAAAAGTTGGTAATTGGAGTATAACATGGGAAATTACATCGTTGTTCATTTTGAAATGGTGAACAACAGAACAGAATCTTATTTAAATGGACAGATACTGCAGAAAGCTGCAATGCAAAGAGACTTGGAGATAATTGTGCACAAACCACAGAACGCTAGCACACAGGTGCAGCAGGTAATTAGAAAGCCTAATGGAATGTTAGTCTTATTTCAAAGGAATTAGATTAAAAGAGAAGGGAAGGCTTACTCTAACTGTGCAAGGGGCTGGCGAGAGCACAGCTGGAGAACCATGGGCAGTTTTGATCCTCCTATGTGGCAAGATATCATTTTATTGGAGGCAGTTCAGAGAAGGTTCACTAGGATGATCCCTGGTATGGAGGAATTGTTATATGAGCAAAGGCTAAACAGGTTTGGACTCTACTCACTGGAGTCTAGAAGAATGAGAGGTAAAAAGGCAAATGGAATTTTGTCTGCCATTGCTAGAGGGATGGAGTTTAAAAACAGGGAGGCTATGCTGCAGCTGT